CTGGGGACAGGCTGGGGACAGGCTGGGGACAGGCTGGGGACAGGCTGGGGACAGACACAGCATGACAGGGACACTGGGAGAGCCCTGGGGACACACTGGGAGAGCCCTGGGGACACTGAGCTGGAGAAGTAATCCATGTTGTTCATCTGGGGACACAGGGAACAGGCTGGGGACAGGCTGGGGACAGGCTGGGGACAGGCTGGGGACACGCTGGGGACAGACACAGCATGACAGGGGCACTGGGAGAGCCCTGGGGACACACTGGGAAAACCTTGGGGACACACTGGGGGAGCCCTGGGGACACTGAGCTGGAGAAGTAATCCATGTTGTTCATCTGGGGACACAGGGGACAGGCTGGGGACACGCTGGGGACAGGCTGGGGACACGCTGGGGACAGGCTGGGGACACGCTGGGGACAGACACAGCATGACAGGGGCACTGGGAGAGCCCTGGGGACACACTGGGAAAACCTTGGGGACACACTGGGGGAGCCCTGGGGACGAAGTAATCGAGAAGTAATCCACGTTCTTCATCTGGGGACACAGGGGACAGCTGGGGACAGGCTGGGGACAGGCTGGGGACACGCTGGGGACACAGCAGGGACACAGCAGGGACAGGTACAGCACCACAGGGACACTGGGAAAACCTTGGGGACACACCGGGGGAGCCCTGGGGACACTGAGATGGAGAAATAATCCACATTCTTCATCTGGGGACACAGGGACAGCTGGGGACAGCTGGGGACACGCTGGGGACACAGCAGGGACGGGCTGGGGACACGCTGGGGACACACTAGGGACACAGCGGGGACGGGCACAGCACCACAGGGACACTGGGGACAGCCCTGGGGACACTGGGGGAGGGGAGACGGGACAGCAGCCTGGTCCCCCCAGGGTTCTGAGCACCCTCCCAGTCCCTCCCAGTCCATCCCAGTCCATCTCAGTACCTTCCCAGTCCATTCCAGTTCATCCTAGTGCCCTCCCAGTCTACCCCCCAGTCCTCTTCAGTGCCTCCCAGTCCACCCCAGTCCATTCCAGTATCCCCCAATCCCTCCCAGTCCCCCCAATCCTCTCCCAGTCCATCCCAGTCCATCCCAATCCTCTCCCAGTCCCTCCCAATCCTCTCCCAGTCCATGAGGGGTCCCAAAAGGGGGGATGGGGGAGACAAAGCGGTGACAATTTGGGGACAAACAGCGGCAAGAAGGGGACAACGACAACCCTGCACTGGGGGGGGGACAAGAGCGTGACAACGCGGGGACAGCGAACCCCGGCAGGTCCCTCATGGCCCCCTGGTGTCCCTCATGTCCCCACAGTGTCCCCCATGTCCCCCTGGTGTCCCCTGGTGTCCCTCATGTCCCCCCCGGTGTCCCTCATGTCCCCCTGGTGTCCCTCATGTCCCCCTGGTGTCCCCTGATGTCCCTTGCTGTCCCCTCACTGTGCCCCCAGGTCCTCCCCAGTGTCCCCTGATGTCCCTCGCCGTCAACCCTCGTGCTCACTTTGTCCCCCCGGTGTCCCCTTGCTGTCCCCCCCGGTGTCCCCCCGGTGCTCTCTGATGTCCCCCGGTCTCCCCTGGCTGTCCCCGGATGCCCCCCCCGGTGTCCCTGATGTCCCTCGCTGTCACCCCCAGTGCTCTCTGATGTCCCTTGGTCCCCCTTGGCTGTCCCCCCAGGTCCTCCCCAGTGTCCCCCCGGTATCCCCCAGTGTCCCTTACTGTCCCTCAGCGTCCCCGGTCCCCCCTGGCTGTCCCCACAGGTCCTCCCGGTGTCCCCGCTGTCCCTCAGTGTCCCTTGCTGTCCCTCAGTGTCCCTGGATGTCCCTTAGTGTCCCCTGATGCCCCTCCGTTGTCCCCGGTGCCCCTCAGTGTCCCCTGATGTCCCCCCGGTGTCCCTCAGTGTCCCCGGATGTCCCCCCGGTATCCCCCAGTGTCCCTCAGTGTCCCCGGTCCCCCCTGGCTGTCCCCACAGGTCCTCCCGGTGTCCCCGCTGTCCCTGATGCCCCCCCGGTGTCCCCGCTGTCCCCTGACGCCCCCCGGTGTCCCCGCTGTCCCCGCACCTGCTCGGCCGTGGCCGGGTCCATCTCCACCCTGCCCGCCTCGTACTCATCCTCGCTGTTGTAGCCGCCGCCCGCCTCGTCGGGCCCGGGGCTGCCGCAGCCGGGGCCCAGCCCCATGCCGAGCCCGATCCCGCCGGGGCCCGACCCCGCGGGGCCCGCGCTGGGCCCGGCCCCGCC